TATCCATCTAATCACTCTTTACTGTGCGCTTTTTGGGGAGGGTTGGAATGATGGATCTAATGGTCCCCTGTTGCCTGCCTTTCAAAGCCAATACAACGTACGTTCACACTAGATATTAGTTACAAACTCGACTCTGACCGACTTTCAGCTCTGTGACCTGGTTGTCTCACTATATTTCATATCGAATTGTGCGGTAGGTAGCATGCATAGGCTCACAACAATGTGGCCGATCACTGACGTGAAATGCAGGGATTCATACTAGGTGGTGTATTGAACATGTACCTAAATGGGAAGATCGGCTTTGGAAAGGTCTGAGTTTTTCTAGTCCTTTGATTCTTCTTTTGACAATAATAATATATCTAGTGTGTAGTGTTGGGTATTTTCATTTCTTGACAATTTCCTCGTCCATTTATCAAAAGATTTCATACCAGGCACTACCCTCCAGCTCGTAGCATACATAATCCAAGCTCCTGGCCCTCCTTTTTCAGTAATGGTGTTTGCAAACTTTATCACTAGCTGTGGCCTCTCATTGCTGGTTTTTTTGGTTCTCGATGTGTCCTTAACTGTCTTTGACTCTGATACAATAGGACGCTCATGCCAACGGATTCGTGAACAGTTTATCGCGAAACATGGAAACAAAGCTCGGATTTTTGCATGCGTTGTACGGTGAGTCCTCACAATCAGGTGTTGCAACAGAGAATCAGACCTGATAATTTCACTCTCGGGTCTCGGCACGTTTACTTCCCCTTTTGTAGCAACCCACTTCTCAAACCAATATCGTTGGTGTTTCCATTATCTCTCCGCTGGTATAACGGTCGTCAATACTGCTGCCCTTATCCTCGTCTTTCGTCTCCGGCGTATCGAACGTGTGTTTTCCTTCAAAGTTCTCCGAATCAACTTCACATGTACGATGTGTGCAGCCTTGTTGAAGGAAAGCGGACAAGCTTCGCAAGAGTCCTCCCATACCACCCCAGCAACGCGTCAGAACACTGACCGCCAGGTATTCTATCTTCGGGTGGTCCATATCCTCACTGTGTTCGCTGTGATCTATATCGGGGTTGAGGTCACTCTTGGAGGTATGGCATATTCTAAATATTAGTTTTTTCCCTACCTTTCTCCCTTGTATAGGCTGGATCGTGACTTTCATCATCCGCGAACGAGGTCGATCGTCAGGTTATATTTCGTCCGGTTCCTTCGGAGGTATGTATGGTGTTACTAGTATGTCGAATTATCACTTTGTTGATTCAACGTTTGGAACGGCCCCACGCTTGGACGCATCGGTTTACTATGGTTCAATAAACTTGTATGGTCGATGAAATTATTGGGTAGTACCATGTCTCAATCAAATAATAGGTCGGCGAACACCGTGTAATCGTCGTCTAACTCTTCAATCGCTCTCATGTAAGGAAGAAATGCAACTGATCTCAAGCAACGCTTAACTTTTTCTCCGCGCAGGCTGGAAATTACTATCTGGTTCGTGCCTTCTATCATCGAGAACGCTGTTGCTGTAAGCCGCTTTCAAATTCAGTCCCAAAACTACTCACTCTTACCGTAGGTGTTCATGATTGAACTTGTCATGGGCCCTATGTTCCCCGTTATGATGTCGCATGCATCCAAGGTACTAGCTGCATCGGATGGATTACTAGTATTGGGATGACTGGTTCGGCTGCCATCCCTTTCCTTACGGATTTATCTTTCTTCTCGTTTAGATTAAAGGCTCTTCAACCTTTGTTCGTATATAGCTCTCTCAGCCATCTTCACTCTTCATTCTCTTGTTTGCAAAAAATGCTGAATTGTTTGTTTACTAGAATGGTTTCGATGATGAGCACCATGATGCTTGTCTGGATGTTCGTACCCAGAAATGCTAGACGTGCGGATTAGAAGCGAAGTTGAAATTCCACCTCCATATTGTAGAGACTAGTCATAATTTTCCACGCTCGCGTCGTACTTCATTATATTCAAATAACCTCGGTATGCCAGGGACGCAGGGAAGGGGTAAGTACACCCAGTCGGATTCTCCTGATCTAAGTTGTAAACATACATAAGTATCCAACTTTGGGAAGAAGCGTGAGCCACGTTGGTGGGAATTTTCTTGACAGCTTGTGACAGAAGGGGCCTAGATTACAGAATCTAGAACAAAGCGCCTATCCTCCACAACGAAAACCTAGTATATGTAGGGAGAGATTGTCTGCTAGGTTACAATTTTTCGAGGATTTCTTTGACGAATGCTCATAACGACCGTCTTATCTTATACTTGACTACAACTACATCGACTCTCCTCGAGCGCTTCGAAGAATCAACTAATCACGTTATCATGCTACGAAATTAGCTTTACCTAAATAGAATGCTGCCTAGATGACAGCCTCGTGTTACCCCCTGTCCGTGCACTGGCGATGTTACTCTTGCAGTCTATCGCTAGGGATGATGCTCAACAGGCCGCCGGAACGTCCACACAAAGTTGGGGAGGATTCCTTGCCAAGTTGGTTGGCTGGCCATTTGGACCAGACGTTCAGACGAGCGTGGAGAAGACAGGACCCTCCCGGATAAGGGGTATGGCGATCGCGGAACGAGATCAACAAGCAAGAGGTAAAGTGCATAGATAACTTCCGTACGGTTGACATTCCGTGACGAATGTAAAAGACCAGAATACAAGTCTGGTCAATGATGAGACTATGCAAGCACAAAATCTGTCTCAACGGTTGCTCAAGGTCGCAGCAGAGTTGCCCAGGACCAGGGCGGAACTCACTAAGGCAAATGATGCAAATGGAAATCTGCAGAGGGAAAATGCGGAACTGAAGCGGGAAGTAAATATGTTACGCGGTTCAACGAACCGGCAACAAGAGAACCAGATAAGCGGTAGGGGCCCCTCGCCCTTTGTCCAAATCCCCGTTGGAGACCTCCAGGTCTTGGAGGCCACGAATTACAGTCTGAGGATGAGGAACATGGAACTAGAATCACGGATCACTAACATTGTGAAGGAACTTCAGCGACTTACCGAGGAAAATGACGTACTTCAAGAAGATTTACAATTACGTTCTTACCTCGATGTTGAGATGACAAAGATTGTACGTATCTATGCTCAATTTATTGAGATGAGTGGCGTATCTGAGTCGGACTCTTGTCTTTGTTTTCTAGTACCGAAGAGATATGCACCATATTCGCCGGCGCATTATTGTAGAGAAGATGACCAAGGTCCTGGGCAACCGATATGGTAAGAAAAGCAGGCGCGAGTCGTTCGATAATTGGTCGAGGCGCGTGAGGTATCCGGGTTGGGAACACATGATCGATGTCGCCACGAGAGCGATCAAGCAAGGGAATAAAGTTGCGCATCAAGCGACACGCGCAGAGCTACAGGCAGCGATCACTTTTGGTCCCGTATACAGCGATGAAGAATGGGAAGAAGCAGAAGTACTCGGGAGAATGCTTAATATCATAGAAAATGGAGGGGAGATTAGTGAAGACGACGATTTTGATGACGACTACGACAATGATTTGCAATGGCCATGATGCAGAAAATCGGAACAATTTGTGGAGACTTATATTTACAGTCGGAATATTTCATCCATCAATATCGTATTTACCAGAAAGCGTCTTGACGCTTGGAAATCGGATTAACTCGAAAGATCGGGTGGAGGGCGTTTAGTTGTCGCGTAAAGGCTCCTACTTTATGTAAGGTACTTATATGCGCGCGACTTCAACTCTGTTTGCGCGATCCCGTGACCGGAGGGTTGTGTCCTCACTTCAGCCTATTATTTGAAACGTTGAGCGTTTTGAGCAATGAACAAACTTCGCAAACCGATGAGCCCATCCGGTACTTCTCGTACGATGCATCTTGCAAAAGACTTGTCTCTATCTCTGAAAGCAACGACTTCTCGAGCTTATGATGGTCCAACACAACAACACCCTTTGCGCCGGACTCAACCTGTAACTATTAATGAGACGGACATCATAGCAATCAAGTCGAAGGACATACAATACTGGACGATGCGTGCGCACTCCGCGGAGGCACAATTGCAATCTGCGTTGTCTGCGTCTCGAGGTCAATATGCACAGCACCTGCGTGATCACAATTCCGTAAGTACTTCAGTCCGGTCCATCTTCACTTGTTCAAGTTCTTCTGTTGGCACAAAAGTCTATTCAAGATGTCTCTCGGAGGAAGGACGACGAAAAAATTGCTCGACTTGAATGGCTTGTGGTACGTGATCAGCTTTGATTGTTACGATGGCATCTCAACCAAGAAATTGCTACAGATTATCCTTCTCGTTCTTATTTCCGTGTTTATCGTCATCATTCTCTACATCACCGCCTCATATGCAACTCCCAAAAAGGCACCTGCGCACTTCACCATACCTATCTTGTCGCCCTTCACGTCAGTGGTAGGCATTTGTTCACATCAGGATATTTTCTCGTAGAATAACGCAACCACAGGTCGAGCACGAGACGTCGGTAATCGGCTCTAAGACTGTCACGCTCATACTACTCATAATAGGGACATTGTCATACCTTGCCTTCCGGCTTCGTTTCGTAAGATGACCATGGGATATTTGTCGAGTGACATCTCGTTTTCCTCCATGCCCTTTCACTGAAGTCTATCTATCAGAACGAACTTTGATACGAATACGAAAATAATGTAAACCCACAACTTGGACATGTATTTCTGCTACATAGGTTATGCTCTCTCGATGCGTCATTTATCATTTGGTTGTAACAACATGTACTCGAACGTCGTTTTATCCTTCATCTATACAACAACTCCGGAAGGTATGCTTGCAACTGTTGTAAGGATTGTCTTGATGCTAATGGGGTGCAATCTTACTATGCAAGTTCAAAGTCCAATCCACAAATCCATGGCGAGTCTATCAGTCCTATCCTTGCGCGCGTAGTGTAAGAATAACTGAACAGTAAGCCTCCATCAAGGTTGACTGTTGGGTCCTGCGTACGATATTCCGGTACATTGACTCCACAGGCTCAGTATCCAGCAAACGGACAACTTCACGTACTCCCTCTTAGCTCAGTGGTAGAGCGCGTCACTTGTATCCTTTAATGACGAGGTCAGTCGTTCAATCCGGCTAGGGGGAAATGAAGTCTTTATTCCTCTGTTTTTTCTCGCACTGGGCAATGTCTCTACTAGTACTGCCAGTCAGAACATAGGAATTCTTGACCTGATTAGCCATCCAAGCCACTCAAAGTTCCTTTGCTCCATGCTCTCACCAGTACCAATAATTGTTCTGAAATCTTCCAAGACGGCATGGACAGCTATTCTCATCAGGAACGAGTCGTCCACTTCAGCTAGCTAGGATTGCTTATTTGCTTCCGTTCCACTCGTCGACTCATTGTAACACCCTTGAAGAGTTTGTTGCGCGTGTCCCTCTTAGCTCAGTGCTAGAGCACGTCACTGGTATTCACGGATAAGAAATCCTATGACGAGGTAGTCGTTCTGAGACAGGATAGGATGGGAGTAGGACAGGATGAAGGTAGGACAGGATTGAGACAGGATAGGATGGAAGTAGGACAGAATTGAGAGAGGGAAGGAAGGATGGAAGTAGGACAGGATTGAGACAGGATAGGATGAGAGTAGGACAGAATTGAGAGAAGAAAGGAAGGATGGAAGTAGGACAGGATTGAGACAGGATAGGATGAGAGTAGGACAGAATTCAGAGAGAGAAGGAAGGATAGAATGAAAATAAGATGATTTGAAAGGAGAATAGAAAGGATGCAGCATGGAATGGAAATAAGCTAAGATGAGAGAATAGAAAAGATGCTAAACAGGAGACTGAAACAGCTGTTGTCATGAATATACACACTCTTCCAAGTTCACACAAATAGCTTGAGTTCATTCACTCATTTGCTCTATATTCACACACTCTTCTCTCCTGGACACAGCTGTTCTCTTCTGGACACAGCTGTTTGTCCAGAACAAACATTTTTGGGTTGCTATGCTCTCCTGGACACAGCTGTTTGTCTCAGACAAATATTTCTAAGTTCTCACACTCTCTTGGACACAGCTGTTTGTCCAGGACAAACATTTCAGAGTTTCCACACTCTCTCAGACATGGCTGTTTGTCTAGGACAAACATTTCCCACACTCTCTCAGACACAGTGGCAGCTGTTTGTCCAGGACAAACATTTCTAAGTTCCCACACTCTCCTAACAATAATCTTACTGGAATACAGGTCAAAGACTAGATCATTACAAAAACACGTTCTCCGCCAAGCTAAAAATATTCTAGGGGTCTGGTTTGTGGTGAGCCTTTATAGATAACACATCCATGTAATTTTCAGGTTTGGTCACAAATAAGGCACCGAACTCTTTGGTGTGCCTATCCCTTTGCTGGATGCTACGCAAATGCTTCAAGGCAAAAGCTGGTATGACGTTCAGCTCTGACGCACTCTGCACCATTGGCCTGGATCCTGCCACACCATATCCCATTGTCCTTCCTTGCCCACTACCACATCTCGATGCTTCGACGGCATTCATTGAAAAGGCCACGAAACATGGATTGTCCAAGCGTGCTGTTGCTCACTGGAAGCGCAAGGCTAATGCCACACCTAATATGACCATCACACCTGGGAGGAGCGCGAGGTGTGGGAGACCGAAGCAGGGTGGGGGCGGTGTGTGGGGGAGTGCCAGTAGCGCCGGCGAGTGAGACGAGTGCTGGGGAGGGTGGAGGACGAGTCCCGGGGGTTGGCGCGAGTCCCAGGGGTGTAAGAGGGTGAGACGAGCGAGCGCCGGTGAGCGAGCGAGTCCCGGGGATCAAGAGATAATCAGGCACGGGGACTTAGCAAGTCCTGGGGATGGAAACAGAACCGGGGAAGTTAAACAGCCAAAAGGGGAAAGAGTCGAGATAAGATAACAGGAGAT